AGGAATTGTATGATGAAGATGCAGATTTTGGCTCTATATGGAAGCAATGCCAAGAAGCACCGTTGCCTACAGTTTATTCCCTGATTCACTGATTTCTTTTCAAACAAAATCTATTGTGTGTTCTCATATCCTCGTGGAGACTGCACCTTGTTAAGGAGATACACGGCGGAGGTTTGGCTGCCCACCTAGGCCGAGACAACACACTTCACCAGGTTCAGGCTCGATTCTTTTGGCCAAGGATACGCCGAGATACCATTCGTTTCGTTGACAGTTGCACAATTTGTCAAACGTACAAGGGGGGAGCTCAAAATACTGGCTTGTACATGCCACTTCCGGTGCCCAATTCCATCTGGGAGGATATAAGCATGGACTTCGTCCTAGGCTTACCGAGAACTCGGTGAGGCAACGACTCCATTATGGTGGTTGTCGACAGGTTTTCCAAAATGAGCCACTTCATTTCATGTAAGAAAACCTCCAATGCTATGAACATTGCTAATATCTTCTTTAACGAAGTTGTTCGTTTCCATGGTCTACCAAGAAGTATTACTTCAGACCGAGATGTGAAATTCGTCAGCCATTTTTGGCGTGAAGTGTGGAAAAGGCTTGGCACCGAATTGCGGTTTAGCTCCGCCTACCATCCCCAATACGACTGACAGACAGAGGTAGTGAACAGAACACTAGGTAAAATGCTGAGATGTTTAGTTCAGGAGCAGCCTAAGCAGTGGGAAGACGTCCTATCCAGGGCAGAATTCGCTTATAATGCGATGACCAACCGTTCTACGGGAAAGACTCCTTTTGAGATCGTATACACGAAGACCCCTAACACCACTGTCGACATCTCTATACTCCCAAAATGCACATCCCCTGCAGCGAACAAATTCACGGAGGGCTATTCTAGCATGTTGAATGATGTTCGGCAACAGATTATTAAGTCAAATAGACGCTACAAAGAGGCTGCAGACACACACCGACGTGAATGATTTTTCCAGGTGGGCGACTTAGTCATGGTTCACCTCCGTCGTGAACGCTTTCCGGCCGGAACTTATTCCAAATTAGCACGGCGCAAGCTTGGTCCTGTACCCATAGTTGCCAAAATCAATGACAATGCCTACCGCGTTGAATTACCCCCGGACAGTAATACTTCGTCGACATTCAATGTGTTTGATATCTCGCCGTATAAGCCAGCCGACGACGCTATTATTTCAATCAGCTCGTCAGAGTCGAGCTCTGATGAAGCCGGGGAGGACTGATGCAATGCTAGTTTACAGTGTGCCGCCGAGACACCAGATACTCCATAACAAACCATATGCCCACTACCGCATTTTCTATTTTATGTTATTACTTTACACTACAGCTTTTCTTTTATACGTCGCAAATAGTAATAGAAAAAGGGTAGATAATTACATATAGGATGGGGAGAAGGTCTCCATTGGTTATCTTGCATTTTTACAACAAAGTTATAGAAAGCTGAGAATACAAAGGTATTCTTCTTCCTCCCGTATCTGCTCTCTGTTTTTGCCATTCCTTTTTTCTGTTTGTCCAGGTCGCCGATCCTGCACAAGGGGGAGCTATCAGAAGAGCTTATCCATTGAAGGAAAAAGTAGAAGATGGTGTGGACTGTGGAGGTGAGTGAAAGGTGCAAGTGTGGCGGTGTGGTTAATGGTTGAAATTGATTGGGTATTTATAGTTTTTTTTTTAATTATTATGAAGAAGGCCTGCTTGTTACTTAGTTCTACTGTTTATCTTACCACATCACCCACATTTACGTTTGTTTGTATAGATTATAGCTATATATAAATAATCCAGATCAACAGAGCAAGACAGTATATTTTCTAGATACTGAGAACTAGGAAGCATTTCACCTTGTGGAAAAATAATTGGTGAATTCTATAATTTAACCAGAGTAATAATTTAAAAACGTCCAAGAGTTAGTTAAGAAGTAAAACTTGAAAAATGCCTAAGAAGCACTCTTCAGCAGCAGTGCATCAAATATCTAGAACATGAAGAAATGAAGCCATTAATTCTCTCATAATGACATAAATTGCTGTGCAATTCATTGTCTTTGATCATCGGACAATGAAAAAAGGCAAAAATATAAACAGAACGTTTCTTTTTTGCAAGTTTAAATAAGTTTGGAGTATTATGTTAACTATCACTAAAATTTGATTTGAAGAAGACTTAGTTTTAATGAGAACTTAGATTAAAAAATAAAATATGTTATGATTTTTTATTAACGAATATCTTTTTTTGTCCTAAATTTTTTTCTAATATATAATAGATGGAATTAATGTTGTTTAAAGAGGAAAGAATATGTAGAGATTGATAATACCAATCTCTCAATTGATCCTAGACTTCGACCTGCAATTTGGAGTTACAATGTAAATGATATGGACAAAATTTGAAGAACTTATCTTTTGAAGGGACCCTACTTTTCAATTATATTTGACGAATTCATACATGTTTCTAGGAAAGGACTAGCAATTGCAATGAGAGGTTTATAGGCATTAAACATGTTGCATTGACTCATGCAATAACCCTAAAGGCAACAATTGAAAACATACTTATGAAGCATGCACTCGTTGAGCATACATAGGATTCGTTATCAAGTTATGATGGGACATCTAATATGCGATGGGAGCATCATATTTTGAAGTCACTGATACTTAATGATAACCCTCATATATTTTATGTTCATTGATTTGCTCATTAGCTCTAACTGTGCTTAGTGAATGTAACAAATAATTATTATAATGTTAAACATCTATTTGAGATCACTTCAAGAATTGTCAATATTGTAGGAACTTCATGCAAGAATAGTGATGCTCTTAGAGCCATTCAACATGATAAAATAATATTTTATCTAAATAATAGGGAGTTGAACAGTACGTGATTGATGTTTGAATCACGAGATAAGTTAACAACGAGTTGGTGACACCCGTTGGGGTTCTTATTTTCATACCTTAATAAATTTGATGAAAATGCATGCTTGGTTGATTAACGTGCTTGAAATTATTAAGAAAGATGGGATATATGATCAACAATCTATTAAAGCAAGTGTTCTGATGAATATTATGATTTTTTTTATCCTTGCAATTAATGCACTTAATGATTGATATTTTAGGTGTTACATATAAATTATCATAATCATTACAGAGAAAAGATCAAGATATCATGAATGTAATAAAATTAGTGCAAGTGTTCGAACTCCAAACAATGATTATACGTAATGAGGGGTAATGGATGAGATTATTAATTTACTATATTAAGTATCACGTTTTTGCAATATTTTTTAAGTTGATATTCCTAGCAAAAAATTCTACATTTAATCCTTGACGACGATTAGGACATAGAAATGAAGAAATAACAAATTTACATCATCAATGAGGGATTCTTTTTACACTGTTATTGATATGCAACTTCAAGAATTTTCTAAAGCTAGTACTAAATGCTTCTTTATATTTCATATCTAAATCCAAGTAATTAACTCATTTTCTACTTATAATAAGGGAAATTAATTCGGCTTGCAAAGGTATATTCAGCAGATTTTGCAGTAGTAGAACTTGCTCAAAAGCATCAACTATCCATATACATTCTTGTTATGCGTACAAGCAACTCATTTTTAGATAGTATTAGTGATCTTGCAAAATAATTTACTAATATTAAGAAAAATATTGTGTACCCCTTAGTTTACAAGTTCATTATAATGACATTAACTTTACTATTAGTTATTGTTACAGTGAAGATAACATTTTCTATATATGAAAATTGTTAACTATTACTACGCAGTAAAATGGGTGATGATTGGCTAAGTTATTGCCTAATGTCATATATTCAGAAAGAAACATTTGATTTGATTCCAAATGAAGTTGTAATGCAACATTATCATAAAATACAAAATAGAATGCAATGCTTATAATTTTGTTATTTGATAATTATTATGCAAAATAACAATTTATTTTGAATTTTGACTTAGATTTAATTTTATTTCTTTAAAGCAGATTTTGCACCTGAGAATAGATATAGATGATGTAATAGACACATCAATGACAACCTTTTTTATCTGAATTGCATGAAATCTTTAATTTTATACATGATCATATTGTGTTTTGTCAGACAGGTTTCATTTGGGATAGTTTTTTTGTTGCTTTCTAAAGCAGCTTTCTAGTTAAAAATTTTTAGTTTAAAAAATTATTTTAAGAAACAGTAAGAAAACTGTCTCAAATGAAACAATAATGATCATGTGTCATCTTTATCAGGAATATATCTTATTTGTCACGTGTCATCTTTGCCTGAATGGATCTTATTTGAACAAGCTGACAATTCTTGTATTCAATCATACAGGGATGCCCGTATGAGTAAGATGAAGACAACTTTGATTTTTTTTTTTTGTATCAAACATATCTAGAGAGAGAGGATGTCTTGCAAAATCTTTAAATTTATTTTATAAAATAGTAAAAAGTATGTCCCATCATGAGCAAACTCATATATACTACATGAAAAATTATTTTATTAATATTAGATGATTTGGTTACATAAAACTTCGGTATTCCGATGATCTAGTTATGATAGTAGATATATTAGATCTTATGTTAAGGAAATTAGAGATAAATCTAAAAAGACTTTGTTAGAAAATATTAAAAATAATTGTTTTTATTAAACTTAATGAGAATTTTGACTCTTAATAGAACACAGTAGAGGAAAAAAGTTCATATAATAGATTCGAGGTAGTGAAATAATGACATGATGTTGTTGCTATTATAGAGAAGGGGAAAAGTAATTACCATTTCAAAAGTAAATATAAGATGCATGAAAACATTCACACCATACTTAATTCATTATATTAATATTATTGATACATATGAAGCAATCAAATGTAACCCTTACAAACCAAAGCAAAAGCAATACCAAACATCAAGCCATAAACTCATAGCTATTTAGATCTACAACATTCAAACATATATAGATGACACGTTTATTTACCCTATATATCCATCATCCTTCTACTCATAGGCTCCAACGCCATCCTCCTCTCCTCCCCTTGACGCCTTCTCAGAAGTGTAATCTTCGCCGCCAAAGCCGCCTTTCCGGCCGGCACTTCCAAAAGTATCGGAAGTCTTCTCAGACGAATAATCTCCGTCGCCTGCAGCGTAGTTGGGCTTCTTAGAGCCACCATACTCGTTGCTGCCTCCAAAGCCGCCATCACCGGTATCGTAGGAGGCCTTCTCGTCGTCGCCTCCGCCTCCAGTGGTATAGTTGGGCTTCTCCGAGCCGTCTTCACCGGTGTCGTACGAAGCCTTCTCTGAATAGTCGTCGCCGCCGCCGCCAGAGGTGTAGCTGGGCTTCTCCGAGCCGCCGTATTCATCACTGCCTCCGAAACCGCCATCACCGGTATCATAGGAGGCCTTCTCAGAGTAGTTGCGGCCGCCTTCGCCAACTTTGTCAGAGCCTTCGTCGCCGCCAATAGCGTCGGAGGACTTCTTAGTGTAGTCTTCATCGCCGTATCCGACGTTTCCGCCGTAAGTGTCGCTATTATCGGAAGTCTTCTGGTTATAGTCGTCGTCGCCAGTGGTTAAGGAGGCTTTCTTGTCATATGCATCGTCGCCGTAGGTTTCACCATCGCCGGCGGAGTCTTTTATATCATCGGCGGGTTTCTCATCGGAATCTTCCTTGCGGTGGCGACCGAAGAGCTTATCCATCGAAGGAAGAAATATATATATCTCATGAAAAACGATTGTGGTTTTTTTTTTGTTTGCCCATTATTATTGTAGTTATTATTTGTCCTGTTGCTTGAAAGCCTCTGGGTTCCACATAGTAAGGGACCGTGTGCATTAATGGTGGAATCGGATACGTGGTCCCAAAGTAAGGTTCATTTGCCAGGTGGCTCGTTGGGAATGGACCAAGGTGTCCGCGTCTGGACCGGTGTGTAGACCGTTAGAAAAAAAATTCGGCCTTCGTCGGCAAGACAAATCCTCTCGCCCCCATTCGTCCAAAATGAATCGCATCCATCAGGACCGTCCAATTGGCCCAATGGCTTTGTTCCAACGTCGGCAGACCGTTTCGCTTACTCTGGCTGTCGGCAAGTGTTCACACTGCTTGAACCGAACCGGGTTCATGTTGGTAAAACCAGACCGGGATCAACTCGAGAAGCTTAAAAATTAAAATAGTTTGACTAAACTATGTAAGATTAGCAACAGTAAATTATTGCAATTAGGCTAATCTTCATATTATTTCTCATTTCTTGTTTTCAAATTAAAAAAATATCTGATGATAACAACACTAACTACTTTCATACTTCTATTAAGAAGAAAAAATATATGAATTATATTCATAAAATTAATCTTCAAAATGTTGTTATTTATGATACTGAAGATCTTCTGGTTTCCTCGGGTATTTAGTATTTTCTAAAGCTTTTTAACAAAAATTTCTCTCATAGTCCTATTTCTCAAGCCTATCTCATCCCTCACTTGATTTCTAACGAGGATAATAATTTTCTGCTTCAAGACCCTTTATCAAAAAAATAAATGATACCATCGTTAGTATGAATTCTGAATCTGTGGCTGGGCTAGATGATTTTAGTAATTGCATCTTTCAAAAAGCTTGGGATATTATTAAAGATGACCTTGTGAATGATGTTTTGGACTTTTTTTGTGGTACTCTCTTATCAAAATGTTTTTCTTCTACTTCTACTGTGCTTATCTCCGAGAAGAATGTTAGCAATAATTAGGAAGACTTTAGGTCTATCAGTCTCTGTACCTTTTTTAATAAGCTTGTTTATAAGATTATTATAGGCATGCTAGCTTTATTTCTTCCTAAGATTAATTCATCTTCTCAAACTGATTTTATTAAAGGGAGAGCCATATCAAACAATATTCTTCTTGTTCAAGAAATGATCCATGAGATTAATGCTAATGTGAAGGGTGGGAACATTTGTTTTAAGCTTGATATTGACAAAGCTTATGATAATATTTGTTAGGAATTTTTTTATAATATCATGAGCTCATTTGGCTTTAACTCTCAATTTTTATAAATTATCAAAAATTGTATTAAGAAATGTTACTTTTTCAATATTATTAATGATAAGAGTAATGATTTTTTCAACGCTTCTCAAGGACTTCGGCAAGAGGATCCCCTATCCCCATCTCTTTTTATTATTGCCGTGGAATATTTATTTAGGGGCCTTGATGATTTTTTATGAACCATCAATCTATTTATTTCCAGGCTAATGAGGGACTTCCCATCTCTCATTTAAGCTTTGCTGATGATTTTATCATATTTATGAATTGTTCTCTTAAGATGGTCACTCTTCTTATGAATTTTCTTCACAATTTTGAGAGGAATAGAGGTTTATTCATTAACACCAATAAAAATTATTTCATTATTGCTAAGAGGATTAACCCCGGTAGTATAAATGGCAACAAGAACAGAACAAGGTTATCTCATTGTCATCTACCTATTAATTATCTTGGCATCCCTCTTTTTAAAGGCAAGAAGAGGTCTTTTATTTTGTATGCTATAATTAATGCTAGTCAAAAGAAACTTTCCTTTTGGTAATTTAACTTTTTTTCATTTGGTGGCAGGCTTATTCTGATCAAAAGTGTTATTTGCTCCTTATCCATTTATATGCTTCAAACTATTCAACCTACTAATATATTCAACCTACTAATGTTGTGTGCATTCGTATTGAAAGAATTTTCAATAAACTTTTTTGGTGGATCTTCTCCTAACAAATGTGAAACTCATTGGAAATCTAGGAAGAAGTATTGTGGTGTGTTGGTTGAAGGCGGTTTTGGCTATAAAACGATGTTGGATTTAGCTCATGCATTCTCTATTAAGTTTTGGTATGCTTTTAGATCGAAGCAATGCCTTTGGGCCAATTTCATGAATAGGAAATACTGTTAGGGAAAACACCCTCCCACTTGCTTTTTCAAAAAGGGTGATTCTATGATTTGGAAAAGGTTTTGTAACATTAAGTAGGAAGCTGAAATCTCATCCAGTGAGGCATTGAGCTGGAAAAGACGGTTTGGGCTATAAAACAACCTACAAATGTTGAGGAGGATGATTGCATTTTATTTAAATTATATTCTACTAATAAATTTTCTTTTAAAGAAACTTGGAATCATATTAGAATTAAGAAACTTGTTTCTCCTATTTTTTTCCATGATATGGCATGATAGTATCTCTACCACTTTTGTTGTTTTCACTTGCAAGGTCTTGCATAAGATCATCCCTACGAATGATAATCTTAAAACTAAAGGCTTCGCCCTTGCATCTAAATGTCAGTGTTGTTGTGATTTGGAAACTATGAATCATGTTTTTGTGGTGGGTTCTATTGTGACTAAAGTGTGGATGCACTTTGATGAAGGGGATTCTAATATCCCTTATATTTTGAGACCCTGGTTTTGTAACTCTAAGGGGCACATCAAGAATGCTATTCATGTTCTTATTCTTTAAATTTCATGTTTTTTGCTGAGCTTAAATATCTCTTTTATGGGCTTCATCTTTATTTATCTCTGAATATTGTTAAGCACATAGAAGTAAATTTCAAATGTATTTACTCTTTGTTTGAGAAATAATCTTTTTAATGTTTTTTAAATCAACTTCTTAGTACGAAAAATTCATGAATTAAAAAAACTTGTGCTAAAAACATTGCTTTTGAAAGCAATAAGCTGTCCCAAACAAAGCAATAAAAAATCATGCCAAAAGAAGCCTTAAGCATAGTTTGGAACAACTTTCTTCTTAAATTAATTTTTAGTACAAAAATTAAAATTTTTGTACTAAAAAATTGTTTAAAAAGCAATAAGAAAATCGACTCAAACCATGCCTTTGTTGGAGCTCCAATAGAAAATAAGATAAGAGAGTCATCTTAGATGATTTGATCACATAAAATATTAAACTTCAAATAATTAATTTGGTTAAGAGAATAGATATATTAAATCTGACATATATTAAAAAGATAGTGATAGATCTAAAAACTTTATAAGAATGTTATAGAAATGATAATTTTTATTAAAATTTTTAATAAAAATATACCAAGAATCATCAATGAATATTCTAAGAAAATCATCTCATTTCCTGTGTAAAGATTAACAGAACTCAATCACAAAATACAATCACTCCAACTTTGAATCTTTAAATTATAAGAACAAAAGATGTGTTACTCAAAAGTCATAAAACTCTCTCCTCCATATTCCCAAGTAATCATCTAACAATATGATCCTTCCACCAACTTCCCCTTGAACTAATCTAAGAAAATAGTTATTTAATAATTGTAAGCATAAAAGTTAACAGATAACACAACATTTAATATATTAAACAATAGCAAATTCAATGAAAATGATTTATGACAATTTAGGCTTCGTTTGAGACAACTTTTTTTATTGCTTCTTAAAACAGCTTTTTAATTAAAAAATGAAATTTGTTATACTAGAAAGCTGCTTTAAGAAGCAATAAGAAAGCCATACCAAACGAAGTCTTAATTAAATTATAATGGCAAATCATATTATTCTCAAAGATATTATAATTTTAATACAACAACAATAACATTAAGACTTCGTTTGGGACAGCTTTCTTACTGCTTCTTAAAGTTGCTTTCTAATATTAAATTTTAATTTTTGAATTAAAAATCCGCTTTAAGAAGTAGCAAGAAAGCCGTCCAAAAGATATCTAAGTCTTTATCTCACTACGTGAGATCAAATATAGGAATCCTAAATCCAAAACATCTTATGTCAATCATAATCAAGATGTTTCAGATCAAGACCGAAATCCTATCTCCTTCACTTTCATATATGAATTTTGAATGTATTTTGAAGGATAATTGCTAAAAAAAGAGTCATATTTCCCCCAAGTTTAATCATGATTAACAAACTGCAGTTGAATGGTGAATATAGAGGAAAACTTTTATCATGATCGACAACAACCCTCAAATCTTCGTCAAGACGAGCGAAATATTCATCTCAAAATAAATTTGATAGGCTCATCTGATCAAATTAAATTCAGAAATTTTATCTGAAAATAAACAATGCATCAACTAGTTACAGTGCCATTTTCAGTGAAATTTGAATAAAGCAACAATTACAGTACTATTGCTGAAGTAAAAACATGAAGAAGAGCTCCTCTCAAATGAATTAAGTGAATTGGATTCCACAAATATTGTCTACTTTTGTGATTCACAGTTAAACAGTTCTGATACAGAAAAGGTTGTGTTTATATTGCTAAAATTAGATACAGACCTGTAACCATTCCATCGAAGTAAATGCAGCATCACCTGATTCCTTTTATAAGTTTTAATGGCAGAAATCTAACTCGAGGCCTAAAAAAGAACACAACAATACTGAACATTACAGAAGTTGCAAAAACCAAATGAACTTCTGAACTGTAAATGATAATTAAACTGCTCACCATGTAAGCTATTGTCGAACGTTCAGCACATTCTCAATCCGGCTGATAAGTTGTTCAGCAGGCAAAGCTCCTTCCTGAATGATGATGAGAATTAGAGATAGAGAATAATGGTTCTGAGAGGAAGCTGGATGAGCTGAGTTTAGATCAAGAGGAAGTTTCTTTTAGTAGGTCATAGAAGCATTTAACTTACAAAGCGATCGCAGGGCTTCCCGTTCCTGAAGACAATAAATGTAGGAAGAGCTTCAATTTGGTAACGATTTGCTAACGTGGTGTATTTCTCTGTGTCGATTTTCACAACCCGAATTTTATCTTTCAGTTTCTCACCAACTTGATCAAGAATTGGAACCATGAATTGACAGGGACCACACCTGCAGGAAGAGGAGGCTAACAAAAGTGTAGGAAACTAAAGAAAATGCAGAACAGCAAAGGCAGCGTTTGGATTTTTTTTTTTTTCAGTTCTCAAGCTTACATAAGTTTTATTCCAAGATTAGAAATGAAAATAATCGGGGTCTCTATATTCTGACTAAGGTTTCGTTTGGGACAGCTTTTTTATTGTTTTATAAAACAATTTTTTGGTATAAAATTTTCAAATTCAAAAAATTTTTGTACTAAGAAACTGCTTCATAAAACAATAATAAAGCTATCACAAACAAAACCTAAAATAAGAGCAGTATATGAGTAATCAATCAAGCTTGTATTACACTCATGTCAAAACAAATTCAACAAGTATTAAACAATTTCGACAAAAAAACTTAATGAGAATATCCTGACCATTTTTTCCATTAGAAATTGCTAACATACAAAGAATATGAAATAGAAACACAAAGTAGAGCAAAAAAATGGTTGTATCAGTGAAAATACTTTATTTAGGAGTAATTTAGGCTTCGTTTGGGATGGGCGGATGATTTTTTTATTGCTTCTTAAAGCAGGTTTTTTAGTACTAAAATTAAAATTTTTATAATAGAAAGCCCCGCTTTAAGAAGTAGTAAAGAAGTCATCCCAAACAAAACCTTAGGTTTCGTTTGGGACGGCTTTCTTATTGCTACTGAAAGCAGCTTTTTAGCATAAAAATTAAAATTTTTGTACTAAAAAACAGCATTAATAAGCAATAAAAAAGCCGTCCCAAACAACCCTTAATCTTAAAAAACAAAGGCATACTACATCTTTTGCTTGTCTAAAGCTTATTAGCGTGACTAAAAAAATTGAAAAGAAAGATGTTACATTTGTAACTAGCCCTAGTCTCCAATTTGAACTTCGATCATCCTTTAGACAAATATAAACGTAAAGAAATTCATAAGAGACTACTGAAGAAAGAGAACTGTATATGTAACGCGGATGATCATCATCATTCTTCTCAAACCTAAGTAGATGGTGCATACCACGTTGCGTAGAAGTCAACCAGTAAGGGTTTATCAGAATTTTCCAACAAGTCATCAAATGAAGAAAAAGTTTGCTTCCTTGCTTCGACCTGTGAAATAAAATGGCAAAACATAGACTGATATGAACTTTTATATCCAGATTATAGAGTTATATATATTAAACTACCACGTAAAAAACCTGAAAATGCAAATCTAGCTCCATTGTAGGTCTGCATGGTAATCTAATAATTAGGTGTATAGCTGTTGCACTAAAAGGAAGGTGTTTACAAACCAAGCTGCTGAGCAAGCAACGGGAGTTTTTTCTTTTGTTATTGGAATATTGATCTGAAATATGGTGTAAAAGGTTTATGGGACCTGTAGGAATTAGGTATAATCTAGGACAAAATGATTTGCTCTTCTACGAAGAAAATTGAAACATAAAGAGGCTTTCCAAGTTTTTTAACAGAAAATGTGAACAAATTCACTGTTTAATAGCAAAACAGTCAGGACAAAAGAAGATGAACGCTCCTCTCCTCCCCTAGATTCATTGTGACCTGTAAAGGAAAATTATAAAGAAAAAAAGAGGGACAGAGAAAAAGAGAGACTATTTGCAGTTCTGCAATAAAAAATTTTGATGTAGGGAGAAAGAGGGCTGCCACACACACACACACAGAGAGAGAAAGAGAGAGAGAGAGGGAATTTGCCATTCTGGAATAAAAAAATTGATGGAGGGAGGGAGCCACTGTATACTGGGGGAGGAAGTTTTTGGAGACTAGGAATAAATTTTCATTCAATCAAAATTTGATTATAAATAACAAGCTTAAATGCTTGATATCTATTTATAAAGTTCTATAAAACATCTAGGCATATGTTCAAAATTCAAACAACAACAAGAAAAATAAGAATTAACCTTAAAATTAGCTAACAACTCAGCTCCCCGAAGAATGGCCAACCCTTAAGATATAAAGGAATTGATTAAATAGATATTTGATATTTTATTTAATTATCTCCACTTATCTCTGTCCTATATTTTTGCCACCAGCACACCACCTATTTGCAAATTCAAACTCCAATTTTGCAATTAAGTTCCTCTTTAACTCAATTGTTTAATTTTATCCTTCCAAAGTCAATTTTGCATTTCCCAACAATCTTGATCATGGCTCCCTTTTTTTATCATTTGATCTTGCAAATGAAAACTCATATTCGTGTTTTTCATCAGAAAGAAAGATATTGACCTTTTGTTGGAAATCTCTAAAGAAAAACCAAAAAATACACTGCCTTGTAACTTAACAAATATTACTCTTTTGAAATCAATTCAAGGAATAGAATTTGAATGCTTGATAGTGAATAACCCAAGTTTCTCAACCAAAGCTTCAAAGATAAGATTCCAGATTATCTTCACTATATGGTTCAAAATAGCATCAATGAGGATAGAATCCACTTGAAGCTTAAGGTAAACAAGTTTCTCCCCAGCTACCTCAATACGTGTGTATGTATCATCAAGCATGTTGTAGGATCAACCTATGTTACTCTTACCTCAACTACTTCTACTATAATAAAGAGGGGTCTTTTCTTGTCCTCTCATTTCGGCGCTTTGGTTATGGTTATATATTTCCATAATCCTGAAACTTATGGGCTTACTTCTTGCATTAGCGAAACAATAGTTTGGTGTTTTGCTCCTTTGTAACTGAACTTTCAATCTTCTTCATCTTATTTATAATTGTAAGCCATTTTTTTTTTCAAGCCAAAAAAGACCTTTTTTCTTTTCCTATATATAATAACTTTTATGCTAGGTTCAAGGACAAAAAATTTATGTGAAGCGTTTTATGAAACTCGGCTAAACATTTTTGGAATAAAAAAAATTTCATTCAATGAAATTTCTAAAGCAGTTACATGCCTTTTAAATTCTATTATGTATGCTTACACATTTTGTTAACTAACTTCCAATTCATACATCAAATCCACTTTTCCTCTACATATTTGACGGGATACAATTAGCCTTTTAGTAATCTTTTTAAACCTCGTCAATGTCGAAGTTAACAAATATTGGTATTTATATTGTGAATTCCAATACACTAGAGCACATGAAGACAGCTTTAAATTCAATCATGTTTTCTTGACCATTTTGTTTGCTATCTTCTTTTAAATTTTGTTAGCGAATCTACTTTTCATATACACATTCAACAGGGTAGAATTGAGCTGTTAGCAATATTTTTAAACCTTAGAATAGTATGCCACTTCCCTCCCTTGCTTAAAGCACAAAGAAATACCTACTCTTTTAGCCCTTGTTGGAAGATGATAGACATGTGATGTTGAGAGGAATGTTGGAGAGGTTAGAGAAGTAACAAAAACCCTACAAGCAACTAACCCAAAAAAGTACATAAACTATTAGGGCGAACATGTGGTATCGTACATGTCGAATAACAATTTCATGCCCGAGATTTGTAAGAATATGTGGAGTGAGTTAAGCATGTATGTCGGCTCCGAAAATTCCATTTTTACGTGATCCCGGCCTCTCCGCACCATCCATCTATTTTTCTTTTATTAAGTGTGACGATGACGACGGTAGAGAGTTTTAACGAGATTAGGTTCCGGGTGAATTTTCAAAAAGCAGATTAAATTTTAGATAAGACACTACCCAGAGATTTCACCCTCATTTTGTGAGGACTTTTTGATCTAAGTTCTAGTTCCTATAGGCGCAAGCCCCTACAGTGAGAGGGAACTTTCGATTAAGGCTAGTCGTTAAAGAGGTCGAATAGGTTATAAACTCATCGTATAATAGCTATAATTTTAGGGTTTGAATTTTGAATTTGGATTTTTGAAGTTTGGAATTTAGAGTTTATAATCATAGACTTAAAACTAGTGGTGGCCTGGTGGGGAGAATGAAGACGAGCCCGATCAAGATCCTATGATTCCATCGTCCCGGGCTGCCATGATCCCTGGTCTACTTAGTCAGAGGAGGTAGTCGACCAAACCTGACAAAAGGTACCTTATCGGCAGCCATGAGTTGCTTTGTCCAAGAATTCCTTGTAGACCTAAGTTGGTATTTATCTAAGGGGATAGATTTAAATCCACCTTAGCTAACAAAAGGCTTTGTGCCTATCAGATATATCCTATGATTCATAACTCAAGGGTTTGAAGCCTTTAGGGAACATATGAGCTTTGGCCTTGATCGTAATATAAAGGTGTCATTTTACGGCAAAACCACCCGGTCAGAGGGCACGTGTCACGTCCTGCTGGCAAGAGACTATTTGAGGATGAATCGTAGTGATACACCCGACACGCATTCGCTCTTTGTGAGTTGAGGTTAATTTCAAATTTATTACCCCCGACAAACGATTGCGGGAGGTGGATGTGTTTTAGTTTTAAGTTTTTAGATGATATATTTTATTTTAAGAATTTGGGCTTAAATTTGATTTGAGATTTGACCCCTCCAATTGAGATTTTCTGTTAACGTGACCATCATCGGGGTGTCATTAAGGTCACTTGTATTTTTGTAGGATTTTGGGAGGCATTTTGCAATTCAAGTCGTGTCGACTACAGTCCTTTCAAGGAGGAGGATGAAACTTGAATATTTGACCTGTGCAGCATTCTCGGATCGTTGGATTTGGGATTCAGATGCAATGATCGGAGCACATGCGGGTTTTTGTTTAGTTTGAAAATAGAATGAGTATTTGGCCATGCGCAACATTCTCAGATATTTGTGTTTAGAAATTTAATGCATTGACCGGAGCACATGCAGGGTGAATTAGTTTAAGGGATCATATTTAATACATAATGGGCATTTTAAAATATTTAAATATGATCCATTATGCGAGGGTGATTTTATTTAGGAAATGTCCATAATTTCATTTAAGGGCCTACGAATGCCTTCTGTCAGCTTGCACACATGTTGCAGATCCAGTAGCGTTGCGTCGTACTGTGATTATTTAATATAATGAATCGAATCACTAAGTAATCTGATGGATACGATTCACTATTTCACTTACCTTATATGTCATCATAAGCCCAAGTAAACATCATCAACTATCTATGATTTTCCTTTCAAAGAAATCATGGTGTATTGTAGTAAGATGGTTTAAAATATCTGAATATCTAAAAATTCTTTTATATGCAACATAGGGTGGTTAAAATCAAGCTGGAGCTTCCTTGATTCATGTATAGTTGTGGAGATACTTAAATACTTTTCGTAAATCCATAGAATATCTTTACTATTTGGTTTATGTTTATCTAATATCTCCCTTTAATTATAAGACCTTCCAATTATCATCTATACAAACTTCTTCATTAAGGGCATTCTTAACATTGTTACCATCATCAACAAGTACGCGCCAACGAAGCATGATTTTCATGATATGCTATACAAGTTGAGTGGGATAAAAAGTTGTATTCACCACTAATTTTCAAGTGACTCATTAAAGTTTAAGTTCTTATAGTCATGTTGAGTACAAGGTGGGATATCAATCCTTCCCAAAATTCATAGTCTTGTTGTACAAGTTGCAGGGCAAACACAAGGAGAGCTATAAAAGTTTATTGCAAACTTGTGTTTGATTGGACACTTGAAGTGTTTTAGTTAACTTTAAAAGAATCTCAACAAAAGAAGTCGCATATAAATGTCTTTCATCTATTGCATCTTCATGGTTATATCAAAATGAATCCAACAAGCGATCTATTATTTCCCAAACAATGGTTAAAAGTAGGATCACTCAATCCAACATCAACTAGTATATCAAGAAATTGATGTATATTCATCATCCAATACTTCATATACATTTGCAAATAGTTTGGTCCAAATATAGTTCATTGATATAAAAAATTATAATGTAGATTTGTGCTTCAATCGACTATAATCTTTCTAAAGTGTTGTTAAACATCTCAACCATGTTGAGAAAAATATGATTAAAGATTTATTCTTCTCACTAGCCATCATTTTCTCCGCCATCTTAACCATCATAAATATGCTAGATCTATGAAGCCGTACATGATTTCCCCTTTTTTATTAATTGATTATTCCAATTTATGTTAGTTGATTTTATTTAAGGGATTTTGCTTAAGTTTGTTAGTTAAATTAATTAAGAGACTTAATGTTGAATTAAATGCTCTTAGTTAATTTAGGATTTTTTTTATTCAATTAATTAATTCTAATTTATTTTTTTAATCATCTCAAAATTTGGCTAAGTCCAGAAGTTTCGAGTAAATTTCGATAGCCTTTCGGCGTCCCCTCCCAGATGCCAGGAGGTAAGGAGTGGCTCGACTAGGTCGGAATAAATCGACGACGAGGAGATTGAGAGAGCGAATTGATCTCATAAAGGTCTTCAAGTCTTCTAACGTGCGCGATCTGCTGATTAAATAATTTAATTAATTGATAAAATGATATGTTTAAATCATTACTAATTTAATTATTTTTGCTTGATTGAATGTTCTCCACTTTTCTCAAAAATTCGTATTAGTTCAAAAAATTTCTAAGTCCTAAATTTTTGAGAAAATTTCGACAACCTCCCGGCGTCCTCTCCCCGGCGTCGGGAGGTAAAGAGGGCATTTTCCCTTTGACTCGACTCGGACGGAGCGAATCAACAATGAGGAGATTGGAAGAGTAGTGTCTGCGCTCCCTCGGTCGGATAATCTCGATGACCAAGGGCTTCGGGGGACCGGATCAACCCCGGGACTTCCTTCAAATTGCTTCCACCTGTTTGAAAAATCCTCTCATTTCTCTCCAACTATCTCTCTTTTTTTTATTATACATATAATAATATATTATTATATATAATAATAAATCAATGGAGGCCGGCGGAAGCAGGAGCAACGGATGGAGTTGGGCCGGCCGGAGGGGTCGATGCTGGAGTAAGAGATCGACGACAAGATTGGTCGGCAAGGTCGGATGCAAAGGATGTTTGGTCGGGCTTACAAGCGGCTAGGGTACGTCGGGTTTGACCTTTGGAGTCGATGGAGGCCGGCGATCTTCAGCGGGAACTAAGGTAAGTTTTCTCATTTTCTTCCTTGTGATTTTTCTATGGATATGAGAGCGTCTGTGTGCGTGAGAGAGCCGACTGAGAGGAGGGATTCTTTTTGTGTCGTGAAAGGAGCGGTTTCTTGCGATCGTGGGAGCAACATGTAAAGTCGTGGGTAGTTTATATAGTGGACTGAGGTGGAGTCGGCCGGGTTTGTAGATTGGGTCTGGTTTGTTGCTTACATGTCAACAATGTACAGATCAGAAGATCAAAAAATGCCATTGACAATCTCATCAAACAGCAAGTCCATATCTTAAAGTATAACTTGAAGTGGCAAATCTCCTTCGCATTGTAATCAAAGCTCAAACTTCCCTTGGAAGCTCCAAGAGACCACCCAAGCCCACAAAGAGGATGTAGAATGGGAGCCAAACGTGGTGGAATAGATCATGGACAAAGAATGAGAACCATAATGCCAGGATTTCCCCAACAATTTTTTTATCAATATCATATGGAATATGTATTGGTTTTGAGTTCAATAAAGATGTTGAAGTTGAAGCACCACTCTGAAAAACAAAATCATAACAAAATAGATTGGCTCGTAGTCCACATAAAGGCAAGCGCTTTAAAACTCACTGGTTAATATCTCAATCAGAAGAAATTCATGTGGCAAGTGACTCAAAAAAACTTATCTTCTACTCCAAAGCTCTCACCTCAAAGGAGAGACAGAAGTAGAATTAACCTAGTTTTAGTGCCCAGCTCTACACTAACATCAAAATACCTAAACCCATAAACCCCAAAAGGCACAAGCAATTATAAGATTGTATTCGTATCCTTTTGCCAATATATTTGGTGTTGACAAGCAAATTTGAATAATTTTGTACTTTTAAAAGTAAGGTTGTTATCTTAGATGACTCATTATTAAACAATGAAGCCATAAATAATATGAACGGTGACTTCCCTTGGTGATATCACTTCTACCTAATCTGAGAAGTAATCAATAACCACTAGAACAAACCTATTTATTTGGATGGTGGATCAATTTGGCCAATAATATATGTAATCTAACATTTGAAGGGCCATGATACCATTGTCAGATGAAGCAAGTTAGGGAGCTGATGCGAGACAACCATTCATTTTCCATGGGTCATACTTTTGTGCATGGACCATACAATCCTTGATATTCATAGGTTTCATAAGTCCTAAAGTTCACCAATTATTTTTCTTTCAAATTACTTAATTTAATGCTATCCAAGCATGAAGCAATCTAAGCTTCACTCAAGATTTTAGTCTTCCAACAATTTAAAATAAGCATACACATTAAGAACAAAAACAACACCCAATCTATGTAGGAATAAAGCTTCTAGCTTTTTATTCACACAGAATTTATAAGGATATTGGCTCACAGCACATCCTCAAATATAAGTGTAAAAAGTACAAGCACTAACAAAATATAAGAACACCAACATACAATTCCCCTCGCTTATGCCCATTAGAGTAAGCACACAAATCCTACACCACCACCCAATGATTTACTCGTCCATCCTTAGCCACCACTCGATGAATTTATTAGCTTTACTTTCCCCGAGCCAAAACACCTCATCAAAGTATCTGAAAATGGTCATTATGACTTTATTATCTATCTAGAAGCATCCACACATACCACAAACAACATCTCCTTGCACACGTCTTGGTCTACTAAAGGTACACCTCACATCTCAATCAACTGCATGCATGCATTGCGCACTTCTCACCAATTTGCCCACATCTCAACAACTACACGTACGCATAGTACATCTCTACATGCATGCATGCCTTGGAAACTACACATGCACGCCCACCCCCATCTGTTGGCAACTACATGCAAGCATCACGCACTAGCTCTATACACAAGCACTCGTGTACATCCTTAGCACCTACATGTGCACCTTTCTAGCAATCTACACAAATGCAAATCATTTGTGTGCATCCATGCCACTGGTTGTCACCACTGAAGCACATGCATCCTCTAACCTCCTTGTATCTATATACAAGCAATCAATTTATGTGCATCCACATCACTGATTACCAAGTTTCTAACTCACCCCGTCGATATGTGAAGTGAGTATCCATCACTTGTCATATACAAAAGTCATTACAAGCACATGCACTAGTCATACAAAGGCACCAAAACACACACATTGTTGTTAGCATACACTAGCATACATCAAACATCACACGCATATCCCATCGTTTTGGTGAACAAGCAAAGGGTGCATTGCATTCACCCAATGCAAATAGTCCATAGCAATGATCGTAGAGGTGTAAAAATAGGTCATTAATATCCGAGTTTTTTTAATTCTAGTTTTTATTTTGAAACTAAATTGGTGTTCACCATAACAGAGAGCTTCATGAACTTCATTTATTATGTTTCCTTTTCATTGAGACAGTGCGATTATATATGGTCGAAGGAGCAACAATACACAATTTCGTTACATAAGCCAAACAAAATCCTTATAATTTGTGTGGTGAGCGATCATTCTTCAAGCAGTGTGCCCTTCTGAAGATATTCAATGGTTGGATGTCTCCAATTGACTTCTTAAACAATGAGTAATGTTGAAGTTTGCTCTATTTAAAAATTGGTTCTTCTTGGAGTTGCAAATCAAAATTTTATAGATATCAGGATCTGAAGATTATGGAAAAATTTTTCCAAGGTCCATCATTTATTAGCAAACATTGTGAGTGCATCCCCCTCACCATTATTACTACGAGGCATCATGGATAAGACTATTTTAGGGATCCTTTGGGGGTTACCATGCCCTCCAATGATATTGAAGAGGTCAACTTTAACCTAAATGATGATAACAAGCAATCACCAATGATATGAATAAGTTGAATGCCCAACTTGATGTTATTCGACAATTTATTAACATAGGGAAAACGGCTTGGCAAAATAATTTAAAAAAAAAACTAGATCAAGCGGATTAAATAGCTTATTTCTGCCAACAAATGAGAATGACTTGAAAAGCTAATTAGTAATTATGCATTATGGGTGCATTGAACAACCTATATAAATATGATAAAAGTTACTCCCCTATGCATTAGCATATCTGATTGAAGTAGTACTCACTCTAGAGGTAGAGCTTCCATCATTACATATAGCAATCTTGTATAAGTTAACCAGTAAGGATAATGCATGATTATGTCCAAACTCAATGCTTTGGATGAAAACAAGCTTTACGCAAACAAAACCTTGAGCTTTATAAAGCACACATGGCTCAAGCCCATGACCACATGGTCCAACCAAGGTCATTTAAAGTTGGAGATTTTTGTTGGTCCTTTGAAAATAAATTGTGAAGTAGTACTCGCACTAGAGGCAGAGCTTCAATCATTACATATAGTAATATGATGTAAGGCAGAGCTTCCATCATTACATATAGTAATATGATGTAAGTTAACCAGTAAGGATAATGCATAATTATGTCAATGAAATTATGACTCAATGTCGTGGATGAAATGAGGCTCTAGGCCAAACAGAACTGCGAGCTTTATCAATCTCAGATGGCTCAAGCCCACGACCAAATAGTTCAACCAATGTCATTTAAGGTTGGAGATCTTGTGTTGGTTCTTTGAAGACCGATTGTATCTCTTTGTCACATCAGTGGTAAACTTAAACCTGACTAAGAGGGCACTTAAGCCATCAAAGAAGTATACCTAAGTGAATCTTATCAACTAAGTCATCACAAATACATACAAGAAATGGCTCCTATCACTGGTAGGTATTTAAAAAAAATACTTTTAACTATAAATTACCAAAAAAAAATCCCTCATTCCAGCTAAGCTTGGTCTGGGTTACCAAAACATCAGGTGCAAAGTCATAAAATCCAAACAATACAAAAACACTATATAGAAATCAAAAGTTATAATAATATAGTCAAGACAATGAATGAACTGCTTTGGATTCGCCACCAGTTAATAACAATTTCCGGAAATTCTTCTTTTTTTTTTTTAAGTTTGAATAAGCACATACGCAAATAGAACAACTAAGGAAAATAAAGCAACTTAGAAGAAGAAATAGATTAAGGTCTTGCTCCTTTCAAATCGAACTATATGAAAGATAGAAAATGAACGCGAGAAAAGATAGATGCAATACCAAATATACATCATAATTACCTTCGGAATAATCCGCCGCTGCGGAAGCACGGAAAGCCGCCGGTTCTTTGCCGGAAAACGCCGGATAGGAACGCCTCTAATGCTTGTCAACGCCGCCTGCCTAGAGAAGTCGGCGGCTACTGACGGCCGCGCATGGCAGGATAGAACGACGGCTGCAGTGGAGCATCCCGCCATTTCCCCTGTGTTTTAGGGTTTTCGTAGAACTCCCAGATTATTGGAAGCGGAAGATACGAGTTTCGTTTATCTCGATTTTTATAGGATTTACTTGCTTAGATAAATTCTAAATTTTAATATTTTTTTATATAACATTTTAATATTTAAATCATACTGAAATATACACATAAAATATATTTTATTTTAAACAAATTAATATCAATAACATTTTTATATAATTTATCAATTAAATAAAAATTTAAGCGTTTAACCTATAAATAGGATGATTTTTTAGCATTTTAAAATTCATTAATTAAGAAGGGCATTAATAGATTTAGATAAATTAATGCATAATTGTCTAAATTAATTAAATCAAATCAAATTATAAATATAACCGAATAAATTAAATAAGGAATAGAGCCGAATCAAACTGAACTTGAATATAATTCAATTTATTCAACTTAATTTTATTTAATCTAATTTTAGAACCCTAATAAAAGAATGTGCATGGAATTAATTTGAATGGATTCATAGATTGATTGGATTTGTTAAATCAATTAAATTAAACTAATCTATAAATAATAATAACATATTCTTATTTTTTGCCCATTTATTCATTACATTTGGGCCTTCAATTTAATAAAAAAATAAAAAAAAAAAATCAATCAAATTACAAATACTTTTTTTTTTGGAATTACTCCCTAATTAAAAAATGAAATCGTCATTTAATAAATCAAATATATTCGATTCAACTTAATTTTTAAATACAAACTAGCAAAAGCACAGACCCTCTACTTCCCATCCTGCAGGCACTGGGAGCCGGTGAGTGGGTAAATTATTCTGTGCGGGATCCGGACGGGAGGAACCGTCCAGATTGCTAAGTAATTATTGAGTATTTGTTGAGTAATCAATACTCACAACTGAGTATTTACAAATATGCATCAAATACACAGCAAATCGGGACGATTCTCCCCGTCCGGACTCTGCACAAAATAATTTCTCCAGCAGCGACCATCGTAATCCTCGCACGCGACCTCAACCCTCGCCGCACTCGACGCAAGCACGACCCTACTACTGTAGAATAGTTTAACTTCTCCAATTATCCTCTTACTCATGAACATCACAAGTGCAGCAGTGACTAAACACACAATTTCAAATCTGAACTTAAGCTAACAGAGGAAGCAGCATGCATAGTCAACAAAGAAAAAAGAAATTTAAGGTTAACGAATCAGAATGAGTTTTAAAACTTTCTAATTTACTTTGAGATATATATATGATAAAAAACTTCTGAATAAATCATGATCAAATTTTATATAGAATACAGTCATCCATTTTTTTTTTCCGAAAAGAAATCTCCAATTTGAAATGCCCGGATCAAGAAGCCAACTAATTCAAAAGATCAAGCAAACTTACAGAACTCTGAAGATTTTCACCTGGGCAACCAGACAGGAATTTTAAGCACAAATTAGTAGAAAAGGCAAAAAAAAATTCCAAAAGTTCTCAACTTTCTCAAGAATAGAGAAATTAATGTTCAAGATGGAAAACATATTCGGTCAAACGCTGCAATTTGCTGGAGTCTAATTTTTGTTCTGTGATAATCTCTGGCTTCCTAACAGAGAGCATTCTCGAAGTAGAATCCAAAGTCCAGCCATGCTGAAGAACATCTGCAATAAAGAAAGATTAATATTATCAGAAAGATAAGTAACATTTAAAATTTTCAAATTTTCCCTTTCTTTCTAAATTTTCTCCTCAGTATTGTGTTTTTTTCTATCATGGAATGCATAGACTATCCAAAAGGGCTTCAGCAAACTTTTAAATGGTCATGCTATGGTGTGATTTGGTTGAAATGGCAAGAGACTGCCAATTTGGTTCAAGAATGCAACAGACTTTGGCTTCGTTTGGGATGGCTTTTTTACTGCTTCTTAAAGTTAATTTTAGTACAAAAATTGAAAAATTTGTACTAGAAAACTGCTTTAAGAAGCAATAAAAAAGCCGTCCCAAACAAAACCTTTGTCACAAATATATTAAGATGTTTTTGGCTACAAGAATAAATATATAGAGATCATAATGAACTCTAGACATTTTAGATGTTACAATTTCAGAATTTTTTAAGCGTTCAATTTAATCCAGTGGCTCAGCAAATCTGAACCAATTTGTTCATACCTCAACTTTGCCGTTTCTTTGAGTAAAAATTATCTGAGGAAAACTTTTCACGACGGTATTTTGAACTTGTTCAAGTCAATCTCACAACTTAATATCAACATAAACTAATAAGATGGATCCAAAAAAATATTAACGACCTCATGAAAATCTTCTCTAAAAAATTTCGATGCAAACAAAAGATAAAGTTGAACCAAATTAGTTCACATATTTGATGAGTTGTGAGATCAAATTGAACACTTAAGAAAAACCTGAGACTAAAATAGACACATCTAAAAAATTTGAAGGCCATGTTGATAATCTATTTATATTGATTAAAAACACTGGATGGATAAGGATTTGGGCAGCACCTAATCAATAATGCACAAAAATTGAAGCAGAATTATTTACAGAAAAATTTGGGTCAAATTTTGGAGAGATTATTCTGTGCGGAGTCCGAACGCGTCGGGAGGTCAATCTGGACACGCCACATAATCCAATGCACTGTGTATTGGGTGACGTGGCACGTCAAGATCAGCCTCTGAACACATTCGGACACCGCACGTAATAATTTTTCCAAAATTTGAAGGATGGGTCTTCTACTGGCCTTACCCAATAACTTTTTATGTCCATCAAATTTGCTTTAAGATGAATAAAATAGATTATGATCTTGCAATGCATTCAACCCCATCCTAATTAAATTTGCTTCATAACCTAAATTTTTTCTCCATTGTTTGCACCATTATTCACATTGCTACCAAATGAAGCAACAAAATATGTAGTAAATAGAAACGTACAGTTGGTAGCATCATCCTCGCTCATTCCCAGAAACTGAGCAGTATCAGTAACACTGATGGTTGAATAAGCAGAAACCAACAACTGGAAATTTCTCTTGGTATAACTCTCTGCAAAATCATTGGCCACAGTAAAACGTTGACTTCCTAATAAGAAATAGGAATTCAAAGTGCAAAATAAAAAGTAAAGGTACACATGTAATAACAAAAAAAAATGTTCATATGCATCTAATCGTAACAAAGTAGAAGCCATATTCTGGAGCCCATTAATAAGTTAATAGCGTAAAGATGGGATTGATGTGAACTGCAATACTGAATACCTATTAAACAAGTACATCATTCAAGATCAGAAGAAAAACCTATCGTTTAGTAAGCCCATTGACATACGGGAACACAAATCTTGACTCATCAGCTAATTGTGATACTAGGGAGGAGATTGATGTGCAAGGAGTGAATTCCCGGGAGAACTTTGCTTTAAATGTCATTCAAATTGATGAGGAAAGTTATTTCAAAAAAGTTGGTAAGCGGACAAGGAGAAAATCCAAAAAGAAATGAATTTTCCTTTTTAGTATTGGCTCCCTTTTGGGTGTTTCTGGGCAGTGCTCCTTGCTGTCCCTTGGGGGTTGTGGTTTACTCCCTGTTTTGTTTTTTGGGTTGCATTTGTGGGCTGGTGGTGGTCGGTTTTGTGTTCGTTGGCTGGTCTGTATGTTGTTTATTTTTGTGGGTGGCTATTGGTGGCTTAGTTGTCTCTATCTATTGGTTGATGGTTCTTGCCTTCTGTTTCCTTTTGCAGGTTTTTTCTTTATGGTTTTCTTGCAGGTGGTTTTAATCGATAGTGTGGCTTCCATTCAAGTGGATGTGCTCTTGCCTGCTGCTGCCTTCATTCTTCTTGTGGTTTTCTCTTTTGCTCTTTTTCTTTTGTTTTATTTTTATATTAGGTAGAATCATCAGCTCTTAGGTTTTATTTCAAATATTGTATTTTTAACGAGTCTTTGGTTCTTTAAGGATTTGTAAATTTTTTCTTAATTAACGCGTAAGCCCCTCTGTGAGTTTTATTAAAAAAAAAAAGGGAATGCGAATCTAAGGAGTCCGGTGTTTGCTTAAGTCACGGGATTTGCAGTTTCTGCAAATTGTGGGGTCTTCTACAAATTTGGAGCCTTCATGCCGATGGATTTCTGTTTTTGCCTCTATACAATCGAGCTAGACCGAGTTCTGCCAACCCTTGTTGGACCACTATTGCCTGATTTGCCGTTATTGCATGGCGCGTGCTCTTTCATTAATTGCTACAGTCTGAGATTTCTCTGCTCAATCTCCTTGTGCCTAGTCTTCTCGACTATAGTAGGAATAAATTCACACCGAATTTATGAAACCTAGAGCTAATTCCTATTGTTTATGTGCCGGGAGAATTGGAGCATGTTTTTGTGCAGATAAAGAAGAATTATGATAAGTTTCTCATTTTAATACATTTGCGAGCTATAAATAGGAAATTTGAGCCAAGTAAAAAAAATTAAGCATGGACTAAAGCTATAAGAATTCCAGTTTCTACAATTTTCGTATGTGTCAGTTGGATATATATTATTCAGGTGCTTCATGTGTTAACAACTAATTTCGATGGCGAGCCTCCTTATATCAATGCAAGGCTTGGCTCTTCCATTAAATGTTTTTAATGCTTGTTCTTATTTTAATTCAGTTAGCCTTTAGTTTGTGCGTGTGATTGAAATCTTGCAAATGTGATAATACCATATTTCTTTTTTGTAGTGTGAACTTGTTCAATTTTGAAATTTTATGTTTGTTCACAGTTTTTTTTTTTTTTTTTTTTTTTTTTTTTTTTTTTTGTGGAATTTCATATTTTGGTGAGAGTTAAATGATCATTTAGAATAAAAGAAAATTGTTTGTTCTTTTAATATTTTAAGCAATTATTTTTTTCTAAAAGTAAAGAGTTTGTAACTTGTGAATTGTAATGTGTTTTTCATCTTATTTTGCATTAGCAATCCAACATACTTGACCATCCTTGATGCAGAACCGTGAACCTAACAAGTCATTGCTTGCTGCAGTCAGGATTCTGCGGTTTCTGTTATAGTCTCGGGATTCCTATATTGTCTTCTACAACTTGAAGCCTTAATGCAACCGAATTGTCGCAATTTGCCACTATATGTTCCTGTTCTACTGAGTTCGATCACCTCTTGTTAGACGGTTGTTCGTCATTGTCGCCTAATTTTTTTACTGTTGATACAATCCCGCATATGCTCTCCCAGTAATTGCTAGTCCTCGATTTTTTGCTCCACCACCATCTATGCCAAGTTCTTGCATCCTTTGGTTTTCATTTTCAATAAATGCACATGGAAACTATGTGTGCTAAGAGAATTGAAATTTTTGTTATACTTGCTCTAGTAGGATTCTATGAAATTAATTTTTGGACCTTTGTAGGAAATAAATAGAATCCATAAGGCAACAACAACAAACCTTAATTCCACTACGTGGGGTCGGCTACATGAATCTTTTTTCGTCAGTGTCCTGTTAAGAATCAAATTCTCATTTAAATCTAATAAAGAAATATCATTTCTAACATTTTCTAAGTAAGTCTTTTTAGGTCTACCTCTACCTAAAAAGGCTATTAAAAATAGAATCCATAAGGCATATTAAAATAATTGAATATTGTGTATTGTAACAGGAATTCCAATTTTTTTTTTTAATTATTGTGTATGATTGGATTGGATGTGTATTCTTCTAGTGCTTCATAGGTGTTGATGACTACTCTCAGTGGGCAACTTTGCTTGTACGGACATAAGGTCTAGTTTTCCTTTGGGTGGTTTCTACCGTTGTTTTTATTTTAACTGTTTCTTCATTGATTTGTGCATGTGATTAGAGTTTTGTTAATGTGAAACTGGATTTTTTTTTTTTACGTGTAGTGTGAACTTTGTCACTGCTGAAATTATATGTGCATTCATCATTTGTCCTGTGAGATTTCATGTTTTGACGACTATTAAATTGTCATTTGGAATGAAAGAAGTATGTTATTGTTTTTACCTTGAGAACAATGGATTTTTGCTAAGATTTGATAACTTATGGATTTTTTTTTTCCTTTCTTCTATTTACATTGTGTATCTCATCCAAGATTAGATAAATAACCTAAGACCCTTCATCGTCCTACATCAAATTGCTTCATCGCAAATAGTTCCATAATCAAGTTAACTAAAATAGCACATAATACTTGGGTCATTAAAAAAATAATAAAAATGTATAATTTAAATAAAATTGGGTAAGTCATGACTCTAAATAAATATAATGCAACAATCAGGAGGATGAAAATTATATACCCACATTCTTAATAGGATATAATGGAGAGAAGATTTATGTATCCCACCCGACGTGGTGGGATAAAGATTTGATGTTTTTGTTGTTGTATTCAATGGGAGGAATGAACTTGGGATATTTTCAAAATAGATCGATGAATTCATTTATTTGATCATGAAAAGCTTAAAATTGTTGAAATAAGATTATTTGGATATGCTCAACTTATTGATGTAATATTACAAGGAAGAAAAAATCAATATGAGATAAGCATGGGATATAGACTTAAAAATAAATATTTCATAAGGAGAATATTGTGACCAATTGAATAATCACTTTTAATGGTTGCATACAAAATAATTACAGTGTCTACATTTAATAATAGGTTTACAAACCTAGTGAGCATGATTTGCCTGAAGGCTATCTTATTACCATTGTGTGTTTAATTAAAGGATTTAAACAAGAGATTATAACTATCTTAAGCTAAAATTTATCAAGAACCATAAATAAGGCCTTAATCAGATCTTTGAATATTAAATCATATTACGAATTATTTGTTAGCAATACTACACCCATAATCAAATTCCCTAAGGAAAATTGTTTCCTTCTCCTCTCAAACTAATCAAATATACACCAACAAAAAAATCACACAAGATCCAACTTGAATTTATTGAAGAAATTGTGGGTCATAAGCATCTTTTTGAAGAAGAATTAAATGAAGACTTAACAATTACAATTGAATTCTTTTGATATTGTTGAATCTTAATATGTACCTTTGTTGGAAAAAGACTATGAACCTAAACTTCTTCCAGGATAAAGGCTAAATTTGGAGAAAAAAAGCTCAAAATAGTCCCCCACTATTAATAAATGTCCAATTTAGCCCCTGAGTTTCGCATTGCTTCATTTTACTCCCTTGAATATTAGAATTTGTCCAATTTAGTACCTCTGTTAAATTTCCCATTCAAATTAACGAAAGAAGACCACAAGCATTCGGTTCTTGGGGTATTTTCGTAAAATATTTATTTAACTAATCGATCGTCTTCTTGCTATAATTTTCTAAAGACGTAATTAGAGATCGAATGGTGCAAGGGGGAAGACCCGCATCTACGAGCAAGGTGATGTGTTGCGACATACAATGAACACAAGCATGACAACCGACTGTTACGAGCAAGACATCATGCTTGGAGATTATGCGCACACTCTATGAGCGAGATGCAAGTAGTGAGCGACACAGTGCAAGCGAGAGGGCCAGCGACTACGAGCGATGGCCAAAGAAGGAGGCATCAAGCAATTTGCATCTCACCATAGCCAAAGATGGAGACCACGAGCAATAGCCAGAGACGGAGATTGCCGTGAGCTACCGCAAGCAATCACCATGCGATTCGACACCTAGAGATGGAGAAAATAGAGTTATGTAGGAAATGTAATCTCAAATCCACATGTAATGCCTAAAATATTCTTCATACTTACCTTTGAAGTAAACTTTAACTCTTACTTTAGGCTCTAGTATTAAATTAGCTCAATTTCTAATAGTCGAGAGACTAAAATGTGGCAATACAAAACTCTGTAACTAAATTAGACATTTATCAATAGTCGGGGGACTATTTTGATCTTTGATTCTTTCTAAATTGAAATTGAATAAGAGCATGAGATCTCATCTGAATAAGGATTTGAATCTGACATAGCACTTAAAATCATATTTAGCCGCTTAGAAAATTAGAGTGCACCGCTAAAAAGAAACTAGACCCATACCTTAACAAAAATCAAAATCTGAGCCCAAAATGAATTTGAGAATGCAATTAATTTTGAATATAAATCTC